TTACTTTTAGATGTTAAGTGGAAGTGAAAGTTTCCTGTTCGTAAATATTATTCAATGCTGTTGCTTAACCTTATTGGCAAGCAAAAGGGGATGTTAAAGAGAAGAGATGTTATTGAGATGTTAACACAGTCGTTCAATGGTCTTAAATGAATTTCTTTGTTTCGTAGAATGTTAAAAGTTTTGTTTAACTTGAAATTAAGTTACAGAACATTTCCGGGACATGGGCAGGAAGTTTGTGGCCTTGTGTGGAGTAGTGATGGTCACTATCTTGCTAGTGGCGGAGGTGACAATCTAGTTAAAATTTGGGAGCCTTCGATGTTGACAGCTGAAGATCCGGTGCGACTGTTTTAAATTTTGTAGTACTCTGTTTTCATTTGATAACATGTCAAATTAATAAATGATTGTTAAGTCCTTTGAAAACAGATTCTGTTTTTTAAGCGGCTGACATTAAGAGTTGATTGAAGTTGATACATTGCCGTGCATATCAAACGTGACTATGCTAGTAGTAATCTTTCCATTCCGTGATGACATCCATACTACTCAGCATTACACCCCCCTTACATGTGAGAATCGTAACAAGTTTTTAACGGGAATATACCTAATGTTTGAAAAGTTAGTATCTTATCATCAGGGACTGATCATTGATTTCACTAGCGCTTTTTCAGGAATCCTTATATAGCTTCAGCGATCATCTTGCATCGGTGAAAGCGATTGCATTTAATCCTCATCAAGCGCATTCGTTAGCAACTGGTGGTGGTACTGTCGATCGGACAATTAAATTCTGGAATCTTGCCAGTGGGACACTATGTCACACTCAGGATACTGATAGTCAGGTGCGTAAATCTTTTATATATGTTAATTGAATATAAGATCCATGAACTACCAGATTCACTTGTGTTTTTAGGTAAATGCGTTGGCATTTACACCGAACTACAAGGAATTAATAAGTGGTCATGGATATCCTGGTAATGATTTGAGAATATGGAAGTATCCATCGATGAATTGTCTTAAGGTATTGGTTCCTATTAGTTCCTTCACATTTCAATAACTTTTGTGATTTTTATTTGCTGCTTATCAATAATGCTTCATGCGATGCATTACTGCTTCGAAGTTGGATTATAAAACTGGAACATGGTAAAATTCAGTAAATATATTGCCCACAATGCGTCTTACTATGTAGTAAGTTTCTATTTTTTTAGCCATCCCATTACAGGTACTGACTGGTCATACTGAACGTATTTTGGGCTTAACGATTTCGCCATGTGGACAGTATGTTATGAGTGCATCTAGCGACGAAAGTCTTCGCCTTTGGTGGTGCTTCAAAGTTGACAAAAGCGCTAAACTAAAATCGGCAACAAAAAATTCCCGTTTGGTACAGTCTATCCGTTAGAATGGTTTGTGAACTATTTTATGGGCGGAGCTTTATTACGTGGAGATCATTATTTGTTCATTAACATATTCATTGCCTCCTTATTTTATCTAATTATCATGACCTCATAATCACAATTGAGTCATTTTCGACCTAGCAGATTTTGCAATTTTTATGGACGTAATGGATGAAATGTTTAGGGAATTGAATTCGGTGATTTAGATTCTTGAATATCTTGGTAACTTATGCATTTCGAATTTCAGTTCTCTTCGTTTCGTTTTTCTTTTGATAACAATAAATGAAAAATGGAAGGCAATTTTTGAACGAGACTGTTAAACTAACTTTAGTAGCCCTTTATATACTGTTTGACGTTAATTTCAGTAAAGCAAAATAATATAGAAAAAGGTGGAAAGGTAATCAACTTAATTGATTCATGATTGAAATAATAGGTAGAAAATGAAGTGGCAATAAAATTCAGAGAAAAGTTGATTTCATCTTCCGTCTGTTTATCTGTGTTTAGCTCATTTTTGTTTCGTTTCGTTATAATTTTCCTAGTTTTCCATATTAACTGGAATAATGGCTGGTTGTAGATTTGTCTTTATTGTTGACCTCAACATATTTGCCGAATTTGCTCGATAAACTAGATTTTTTGGATGATTATATATCATTATAATGGAATCTGTATATCCTTGTCTTTCATTAACATTTAAGTGCACAATAAATTATTTTCTTTTAAAGCTGGAAGGTTAATCCATTTTTTGATTCCTTTGCACCATCCAAATGGAAGCGTATAAATTGGATGGAATTGTGGAGACTACTTTGTTTTCTGTGTACATTCGATGGTATTGTATAACTATTAATTAAGTCCAGATGACAATTTTAGATTTTTAAAATTGGGAAAGTTCCAAAAAAATTCCGAATTTTTAAACTGTACAAAAAGGATAAAATGTACGCATACATTGTTGTTCGAAATAACTGTTAGTGATTTAGTTCAATTTTTTGTTTTGGATTGGCTTTCACCGAAGAATAGAAATCTATTGGTTAGTATGGATAAAATAAAATAATTTAGTACCATATATTGGCTTGTTATTTGCGCAGCTAATTATTGTTGGTACTGTATTTTGATAATATGGTGTTTATGCTTGTGAATATGATCTGTCTTATCAATCACTGAATTTAATACCATATATTGGCTTATATGTTTTGTAGTTAGAAATATCTTCCCGTGTTTTCTAGATGTTTTTTGTATGCGACTGATTTCATATTACTGTTTTAACACTGAAATTTTGCCTAATACTTTATTGTTCACATACTAGTATTTGTCGCTTTTGTGATAAATATTTGTATGTTGCACTGTACTGCCTTGACTTCTATTATGTCTGTACTGTTTACATGCATTCCAGTACTTGTATGCATGACACTTGCACTTTATCATCTCTCCATTTGTTATATTTGTTAGGTGCATGACTGTTGCCACCTAACCTATTATGTCGTCAAAAACTTGAGGTGCTTGCGGCTTTGACTTGATGACTTATCCGTTTATGTCTCAATTTCATCATTTGTGTATTAGATGCACGGAATCCATAATTTGTGTGTCAGTAACCGAGATTTTATCAGTTGTATTTCCTGTACCTATACTTTACTGCCTACGCATTATTTAAATAAAGCTGATCTCCCCTTTGTTCTCTTTCCTTACAAAGATATATAAATATATCTGCATTTCAAGGGCTTCATTACTTTCCATTTTTTTTAATTTTAGTTTTATTCGCCCAGATCGTTGCAATATGTTTCAAGGCTTTTTGTGCATCTCTTCTGGTGACAATTCATTTATGACATTGGCTAATTGAGGAACAGCAATGATTTGTTCGACGGAAGGATGGAAATGACTAAGTGTCCCACAAATGATCCAATTTCTTTTCAAAAATATCCAAAGAATTCGCATGTTTCGTGCATAAGTTATACTGAAAAATTCTGAATCTATCGCGGTCAAAAATCAATGGATTTCATCATATAGTCGTATGCGAACATTGTGACTTAGGGTGGCCGAAGCTAAAAGCGAGGATATGACGAACCTTTTGTTTGAAGTATTCAATAGAGCATAGGTACTTGACATTTTGTAAGTTGTAGGTGATCATCATCGGGTTAGTATGTTTTATATTGCAATGGATTGGTTTCAATTCGAATTTTATTTTAAATTAGAGAATGCATGAGCGAACTGGTATGTATTCTTCGATCATTGTTTAATAGAGCAGGTTTAAATTTTGAGAGGATTGAAAGGAATAGGTTGGATAGGATAGGTGGTGGTATAAGATGGCTAAATCATAAAATGTATTACATATCATATAATGGAATGAAATCTTTTTATTCTTCAATAATAGCAATATATGGTAAGGGTAATGGGAATGGAATGACCGTATATTATTTGCATATATAAAGTCAACTATTTGATTGCTAAGAATGGTCGAGGAATATGTTTTTATCCTGGAATATATGGTGCACATCCCGTATAGTAGTTGATCTAGTTTTCAACCCCGTGAATGTTGCCTTTGCTGGATTGTTCTTTTCACTTATGTTATTTGATTGATTGTCTCAATCGTTATTACATAGTTTCAGATGCAGTAGTACCATAAATTGAGTTTTAGATATTACTAGAACTGTTGTACGCAAAAACTTCAAAGCAAAGACTTTTTCAATGATACGTATAACGACAGACGTGATTTCACGTAATTCTATCATTTAATATCATTAAATTAGAATTTCATCCCTAATTTGACCGTATGGTAGATAAGTAAGTCTGGTTTGTTTTGTAAGCGTCTGGAGAAGGAGGCGCAGAAGGAAAAGGAGGAGGAGAGAGGGAAGATGAATAGAAGTCGGTCAGTAGATAAGCAGGATAGATGTATTGTAGGTTGTGGTAGACGACGACCTGGTATAGTGTGATATATTAGGAGAGCAGAGGGTAGCAGATGGCGTAAAAACTGGTCAAAGAAGGCGCGCTTGTACCGTCACTTTATCTATGCTGGGAAGAGAGGGCAATAATGATGATAATAGCAGGTCCCCTTTGTCTCCCATCTTCATTTCAGGTCTTCTAATAGCTGTCAGACGACGAGAGACCTGAAATGTCCCTAATACTTCCACAGCTGCTCCTGCTGCTGTTGCTGCTGCTCTGGTAGTGTATGGGTGGGTGTTATGTCTGTGCGGAATGTGTATAAAACCAGTAGCGGAGGTTAGTGGTAACGTTGTATGTATGTTTGAGTGTTGATGATGAATGCGCGCGCCCCTTCAACCTGTTAGTTTATAGGGACTAGGGAATTGAACTAAACTGACCGATATGGCTCTCTGTCCATTTTTATCCTTATCATTATCATTAAATTAATTAGTAGTAATGGTCATCTGCCGAAATTAAGCCTGTAGAAGGTGAAACCGAAATGAACTAACACGGTAACTATGGCATATTCAGTACATAGACATAAGCCCACACACGTCTTCACGCAATCTATACACATATATGCACACACATACACACACACACACAGATACATTCACTCATACACCCACACATTTATACACATAGACATATATAAATGCACGCACATATAATTTTCACATAGTCTAGTCCGTCGGTCGTATTGGGATGGAAGGAGATGGAACAGTAGTAGCAGCAGCAGCAGCATCATCCTGTCCACTTCAATCACTGAAGCAATCGTCGTTTTGCGCAAGGTCATCTTCCTCATCCTCTTCAGGCAACATTCCCTCTTCAAAGCTTTTCATTCACTGATCCATTCTGATCTGATCTGATCACTTAGTTCATCCACATCAAATTTACAATGAAAAAAAGAGGAAAACTGAAATCAATTTAGCATCTCTTATTTTGAGTTTTATTGTTGTCATCCCAATTGTACTTTTTTTAATGCTTATTAATACACGTAATACACGTACTCTACGCCAGGATAGTTTATTCTTTGACTTTGTTTTTCCTTATTCGTTTTCTTGTTTGCAAACGTTTCATCTTGAATCATTTACATTTACTATTTGTTTTTAGACTTCGCAATTCGAAAATCAACAAAAGTGGAGGACTCAACGGACGACACTATGAAACGGTATATTTGAAATGTCAAATTACCAAACCAATATCTGAATCTCTTGATAGTGATAGTCGTTTCCTCCTTCCTTCTTTGTCTCCTTCACCATGTCAAATGTCAGATTCGCTTGTTAAAGAGTCTCATTCGCTGGCGTTTTTGCCACTTTGAAACTCACTGTTTTCAATTCCTTCGGTCATCCTCACTAATTATTCTGG